CTCGAGTTATGCCCTCAATGATAGTCTTTTCTCCGTCCCTAGCCCGGATTCTCACTGTTGCCCTACCTTTCATTTGTCCTCACTTCTGTCATCGTTTACAGCTGACATCATGTAATATATAATCGCAGCTTCCTCATATCTTTCTCTTCCCTGAGCTCCCAAGTCTCACTTGTCGCCGCTTAATGGGATCGCAGCAAACTCGACCTTCTCTTGAAGCTTACCTTTCGTGAAACTGTCAGTCGCGCCAGTACTCCTAGGGTTCAACATTCCGCTACACCCATAGCTGCGCTGTCTTTATGGCACCCATCTATGACCCGAAAACTGATCAGATCGATGCAGGAGACCATAGTACAGAGACCACAGGTCACACTCTTTTATCGCCGGATGACGCTGTCTTGTTCCCGCGGTTGACGATACATATTCCTACCTTACCGCATCGTTCTTCTGGGTCGCAACTCGTTACACCTCCTTCCCATCTCCTCTCCCCTACTCAGAACAGGAGTGGGATTCATTGCGCAAGTGTGGGATTAAAGCTACAATAGTGTGAAGACCCTACTAGCGCCCATTAAGTCGACAGTGAAAGGTTCAGAATACATTCTACATTGGTTCCGTCCGCATAAGGCAGGTCCTGCGGATACTTTCCTTTGCCTCGACTTTTTTTTCTCCGGGACCTGAAGATTGTTGCATGCTGGTCCGGTCCACTTTTTTCTGCGCTGCCTCATAGCTTGTGTCGCTGTCCCTGCAAAGATGCAAGGTTTCACATTCACACCCCCGACAGGCCCACCCAGGGAAGGCCAGAAAAGTAAGACCCCCTCCCCCTCGGTAGTTACCATTTGTCATTTGAATATGTTGCCCGTCTCTGGCTTCAGTTATATGTTGACCGCTTTTGATACAGACTATGTATTCGTTGATGAACATAATAGGCATAAGAGGCTCAAAGGTATGTTTGACCGATAGTGGACTTGACTTCGTTGCGTCTAATTACGAGCCTATCTTCAGTAATGCGAGCTTGCAATGGCTGCAGGAAACGGAAGATCAAGTGTGATGCTGCTACAACAAACACGTGGCCTTGTTCGGCATGCACACGCTTGAAGTTAGTATGCGTTCCTCCAACAATTGGGCATGATGGCGAGTATCCTGCAGTGGAAAGCGTTGAAACCAATCCTGTCGACTCGTTGGGCGCGTCGAACACATCAGAACCCTCACTATCGTCATATACGAGCTCCCAAACATATCGAGATTCCGGGCCACCTTCAATGAGTAGCATGCACCCATATAATGACAACATCGGGATCTATCCGCAATTTGCGCATTCTACTCCAGGCCAGCCAAATGTCTACGACATGAGGTCGCCCCAAGTGGCCATGCCACATCATCAATACACTCAGTCACAGATGTTCTCCAACGATCAAACTCAGCCTCTGGGAACCGCAGAAAGTGATATATACAGTGAGCACGACCAGTCCACTGCAGAGAACCTCAGCGAGGTCTTAGGGGAGCTCAAGATAGACGAGACTGGTATTGGTGAGCTATTCCAGCCTACGTAACGTGTCTTACAGACGGAACGTATTAACATAGATTCAGCGCCGTACATCAGACAGCAACGAAGGGAAAGGGCTGAACCAGAAATCCCGACCCAGGATGAAGTAGACGAAAAGTTACCACCTCTCAGCACCGGAGCTGGCGCCACTATACGCATCCCGCCCGAACTCATGCCATCTGATGACGAGGTCATGAATTATTTCAAGATATATTTTGATGATATTCATCCTTACGTCCCTGTCATCCATCGATCTCATCTGTACTATCAGTGGCAACACGAACGAAGCTCAATATCTCCGCTTCTACTCGAGGCACTATTCGCATGCGCAGGGAGGCTATCGGACGACCCGGCCCAAGGAGCACAGTGGCTCGCATTAGCAAACAGTGAGGCGACAAACATACCCACGCACCTGTACGCCACGTCGTATACTGACTGCGAATCATCTTGTTAGGGCACGAATCTAGTTTTATGGACGAACCTCGCCTCAGTACGATACAAGCTCTGCTTCTACTGTTGAAGGCCCGAGAGTCACGGCCTAAGAAAGGTTATTATTACCGTTCTTGGCAAACCGTCAAAACAATCATCTCCATGGCGAAAGATCTGGATATCCATGAACATAACAATCTCCACACGGAAGGCAGGTCTTGCGACTTGAATCCTGTAGAATGCTTGGTGCAGACACGGGTCTGGCAGGCCCTCCTGGTTGTCGAAGTCATGATAGGGGCGCCGCAGGGTACGTCTTTTGATTCTCGTAGTATATATACTGGCTGACTATTTCCAGGGCGCTCCGATTACGGTGTGGACCATGAGACAGTAAATACGAGTCCAACTTTGGATATCAGAGGCCTTGATCAGTTCGAAATGGATCGGTCAAGGCAATATGCGTACTTCGTCCGAAATGCACGCCATATTCGCATCATTGCCGACATATATCATAAGATAAAGAAACAAAAAGATTGGGGGGCTAATCCTAAGTTCGTTGAAAAGAACCCTCTCTTTACCGACTGGCTTCAGAGTTTACCACCGGATCTACAAGTCAACTATCCTCCCGATGGCTCACCACCATGGATTCCATCACATTTTGTCGGAAATATGCACTCCCACTGTCATCTTGGGATTATCCTGTTGCACCGTCCACAATTAATAGCCTCCAAATCTTTTGCGGCAGGGGGAGGTTGGAAGATGCATATGGCGTTATGCTACTCTTCGGCAAAATACCTTTGTAGGCTCCAAGAAGCCATTCTGAACCGCTTTGGGCTGTCTGGCCTGCTTTTCATGCAAAGGGGCATAAATTTCACAATATACACCATCTTGACATGCACAATGCTGCACCTTGTGAGGATTCTGGGCCTTTTATGGTATTGACGGTCAGCTAACGCTACAACAGGTGGCCATAACATCTCCAGACCCGAATTTTCATACGGACGCGCGGGAATACTTCACACGACACATGCGAATACTTGAGCGTTGTTCTTCTGCTTGGCCTATGCCAGAGTTACAAGCGCAAATAGATTCATTGCGTTTCGCCTTTTCAGCTGATGTGAACCGACCTTTCGATTTGAAGCCAACTTTCCCATATGGGAGTCCCTCCGAGCCATATCACCCAAGCCCGCCAATAGATTCACATTACGCTTCTCAAATCAGTCAAGTACCTGGCGTTCAAAGTAGAGTGGGTTATGCAGCTTATCCTGTAACTCCTCCAATATCAGCTGGTACTGAAGATTCAAAGTCCGATTCCTCTCAGCTCCAGCCTTTGGGATTAATCCCCTCCCAATCGATCTCCACCCACGGAATGAATGCGCCTTTGGTTGATGAAAATAGCTGGGATCCTACTCGTATCATCAAGTAAGGAACCCCTTTCCCAAGAAAGAAAATTAAACCCCGAGAAATGGCCGCTGACTGTTACAAACCGTGTAGTCAATGGGATATGGCATTTTCTATTGGTACACCCACTGTGACAACAAACTCCCCACCAATGGCTCTGAGCAATCCTGCTCAGGCTGTTCAACCTTCTTTACCTGACCATTTCCCCGTACAATATGAGCAGCAATCAAAGGTTACCCCGGTCGCGCCAGCTCCCATGCCACAAACTCAATTCACCGGGCAACAAGTTTTGTTCACGGCGCGAGATTGGCAACAAAGTGTAGCTAGTGTGTACGATCCAAACGGTCTCAAACGGCGGTGGAATTATTCAATCGACCTAGGAACCGAAGGCACTTCAAAGCGCCAGCGGTAACGCGTTCTATTCAGCACAGCTGGGAGACTCGGGGCTGTCTTCAAAACGCAGGGGTCACTTCTAGAGTTCCTGGTTGCTGCAATTCATAGCGCCCGCCAGAGATATTCGCTTTTCTCACCTTGGCGTGTCTTCTTGGTAGCTGGTTCCTGTAGGTATGCTGGTCATGTTGCTTTGCTCCCAAAGCAGACATGCTTTCCATGTACAAATGATAGCTTATCCAAATGAGTACCACACAACGCTCCAAGCCTTTAGCTACTGCTTCTCTCTCTTTCTTTTTCTCTTGTGTAACATAAGGATCTTATTTCAAATCAACGCTGTAATGGCATATGGTCTATCACTCCGCATTATAACAGAGCGTCCGCCCAGTGAAATTGTTTTCATTCACTCTGGCATTATGTGTTGGGCCACTTCAGTCGACCGAGATAAATCTCCATCGGCTTGCAGTGGCCTCTATACAATTGCATTCTATGACGATCCCAGTTGATACCATAATCATAAGGAATTATGAGACAGGCAGGAATAGATACGTGGTATAGTGAAAAGTGTAAGATTCGCAGTATAGATTACAAACCAAGCACGCCGTCGAGAATAGACTTAAGAAATGTATGCGCAAGTTGTGGGGGTAATAATATTGCTGTAAAATATGCACTTGTAGCAGGAGGATATGACCTGCACAAGGCCAAATCTTGATGTGTGTAGGACATTCAAATTATTCATTGCCAATCGGGGCTCTCTTGGTCTCAGGAAGTGCTGATGATGCCCAAATACTAGGCATGAGTTGGTAGCCAGGAGAAGCCAACGTGTTGGGTAAACCCTTCGAGAGTTAATTGCGTCGATTGATGCCGATGCGCTCTTCACGCGAGCGGACTATTCTCGCCTTGTCCCCTGGCAATGGCTTGAGCTCATCGCTGGGGTCAAGATTGACATTGGAGCTAGTGCTGGCATGGCCTTCGGTACGAGTTTCTTTGGAGAGCTGTCGGAGCCGTGATTGTTCAAAAGTCGCAAGGTCTTCGGAGGTTATAGCTATAGCGGTGGGTTTGCGACGCAACATATTTGATCGTGATACCGAAGCTATGAGGATAATAATGAGTAGTGACTAGAGAGGCTTGCCGCTCCCACGGGAGTTGTCTGGAGTATGCTTCTGTCGCGCAGCACGTGACTTTGTAGCATTTAGAGGTAACGAACATTTTTAGTCTCCCTCTTATCCAGTCCTTAGATATTCATCAACAAGGATGCTCCAACAACGGATGGTGCTTCTACGCCCTCGGCGTGCCAGGGCAATAGAAGGGACTCTTTCATCAATTCGTCGGTTTTCGGCTACGTATTTACAAGCAAAAGATTCCAACAATCACTCCAGTAAGTGTGCTCCGCTATAGTCTCCGTCCGCCCAGTTCACAGTTGCATTGCTCTCGTCTTACTTTCCCTCCCTCAACTGGTCTCTGTCCTGGACACTTGTTGTTATCGTCCGGGCATACTATCATATCTCAGACCACAGTCACTCGTCTTACTAACTAATGCAGATGCGAATGCAACCGAGGGTTCCGCAGCCTCTTCCGCCGCCGGACGTCCCAGTGCGCAAACCAGAAGAAACAACATTCCGCCGGCGAACCTGAACATTCGGAGCGTCAACCAAGAACGACCTCGTCCCCGACGGATAGTAGATGCGAGATCTCTCGCCGCCTCTCAAGCCACTGGCCAACCAGCAAACATCCTTAAGAATCCCAGGGCTCGCAATCCTCGAGGCAACCGATCCACCGCTTCTCGGGGCCCTAGAGCTGGGCCAAAGAAGAAGGTTCAATCTAAAGATGGGCGAGCAGGCCGTTCTCGACGCACCGAGGGGTCCGGCCAGGAAGATTCAACATCCAATTCAGCATTCCATGAAGCCTCAATCAACGCTGTCTTCCGAGAGCTCGCAGAACAAGCGGCGCCCAAGCCTGTCCAGTACAATCCCGAGTCGATCTCCTTAGCTTCACTGAAGGAAACATGGCCATCTCTACCCACCGACATTGACGCTCATACTGCCGGAGTCGTTGAGAAGTTGTCTCTATTCGGCGATCGCTACGCAAATGATTATGTACCTCCAAATGAGCTGGGCAAGCGACTTTATCAGGGCAAATTTGTCCGCTTTTCGAGTGAAGAGGAAAAAGCTGAGGCCATCTCTGAAGCGAACAAGCTATCGCAAGAACGCGCAGACAAGTTGTCCCAGCGAAAAGGCGATCTTGTGGAACCACGTCATGTCAACTTCAGTCCACTCAACACCAAGGACCAAGGCTCACTTCTTGGACTTCTTGTTCAGGGCAATTATCCTAAGTCTAAAGCCAAACAGGCGGACAACCTCTCAATCGTTGACAGTGTCTCTGAAAACCTCAGAAACAATGCAACGTATCACACAGTCGGCAAATCCTCTGCGTTCATTGCGAAGTTGGACTCGCTTTTAGCCGCCAGTCGCATGACAAAACGCCCCTGAGAACCTTGTTTTCTGATACCATCAGTATCCTTACTATGTACCTATACTTTTGCAGCTTTTCATGATCCCTTGTTATCTTTGTCATTGTTTACATTTATGCCTTGCAAGTGACTGTAGAATACATTACTCTCTGAAATAAGTTACAGAACTCGTGTTCATATCACCATTTGAGTTCACTCAAAGCTGGTCTTTCAGCAGTGTATTTCCTCATTACGCCCGCTCCATAGCCTTCCTTGTAGCCTCAAACAGTTCCTTCACTTCCTTCTGACCTTTCTCTGCAAGCTTTTCCATCTGTTCTTGGGCCTTCCGAACGTCATCTGGCCTGGCAATCTTCTTTTTCTGCAAATCCTGAAGACGTTTATGTACAGCACTGCGTGAATCACGGACGGCACCGGCAGCTTTCTCCATTGCCGCCTTTGCCAGAGCGATCGTTTGATCCCGAGACTCTTTAGTCGGTGGGGGGATCGTGACGTTGAGCTGAAGAGAATTGTGAGGGTCGGCTTGCGGAGTTAACGACAAGTTGGAGGAAATTATTGACGATCGAATGGGCTTCACATGCTATATCAAAGACAGTCTGTGTCAGAACAAGACTCGAAAAATATTGAGAGAATGTGTCGGCTTCACGATAGTAGAGACAATTTCAAGGCACCAGTCAGTAACTCACATCTTCGTCAGAGGCCAAGATAGTCACCATCCGTCCACCCTTAGGAACAACTTGGGCAAGATCGCCCAGCTTGATCGATTGCTTGCTGCTCTTGTTCAGCTGCACACGAAGACTCTCAATTGATGCGGTATTGAACCTCCCCCCCACACGCATCTTAGAGAGCTCGTCTCTGAGTCGAGACAGGGCAGCCGCTATGCCATCATGCAGCTGTGAAAAATCATGCGGGTCTTCAGAACTTGCGCCTACTTTTGGCAACGGCTTCCCAGAATCTGCACCAGATGTAGCTTTCGTCTTGTCCTTCTTTTTACACCAAAAAGGCGAACTGGAAAAGCTTCTTTTGTCAGACGGAAGTGCTACCTTATGCTGAGTCCAAGGCCGAAGTTGATGCTCAGAAATCAAGTTATAACGCAATCCAGTAAACGTTGAGCAGCGACGCATATAACTGAGGCCGGTAACTGCCGCACGGCGTTGCATTTTCGCTCTTCTTCTGCTTTTCAGATGCCCGACTTTGTTGGGTATGGGTCCTATATGCTTATCAGTAATAAGAAATCACGCAGGGTACAGTTGCTCGAAGCAAACTGCGCGCAAGAATAGTTATAGACGAGGTTGGTAGGATTTGGTAGTAGCCGAGGCAAAGGGAACAGAGCCACTTCCTGATCACGCGTCTCCTAGCGAGCCACCGATGTCTCCGCGTAGTAAATTACAAGATTAGTTCATTTAGAACACAAGCAGCTCGCCATGGTAGCTATGACGACCTACAAAATGGTTATGGAAGGCAGTTTCAAATGGCAATTCTAACAAGTCGCCTTTCTCAAAGTCTAACGGTGGTGCGGAGATACAGAGGCAATGTCTATAGGGGGAATACACTTTGGTTTGGCAAAGGGCTCGTGCAGTCATACGTAAGAAGAGCATTAAGATGATAAAAAAGTTCATATATAAAATTTTCGTAAATTACTTTTGCAATTTTGTACCCGGTCATGAATAAACACGCCTCATCTAAAAGGAAATTCCGTAGACGACGTTAAGGTCTCCAATCTAAGGTGAAGCAAAGAAATCGGTCACTTTGCGCAAGTTGGATGGTGGGACTGAAGGGTGAATGATAGAGGCAAGGGCAATTGTATGGTGCCGCACCTAGAGCATGATAGGATCGCAGAGATTTGTTTACCGAGTGGCCATGGCCTTGGTGATGAGTCTCTTGAGAGCAAGCTCCTTCTTCTTGAGATCTTCAGGAGTCGAGTCTTCGATCTCAAGCTGAGCCATGGCATCGCTGAGTGCCGATTCGATCTTCTCCTTGTTGCCACGCTTCAGCTTCAGCGACATGGTGGGGTCGGAAACAATCTCCTCAACACGCGAGATGTAGGACTCGAGCTGTTGGCGAGACTCGAACTTCTTGGTGAAAGCCTCATCGCTAGACTTGAACTTCGCAGCGTCTAGAAAATGTCAGTATGTCTGCATCGATCTCTGACTGCGTCAAACGTACCGTCAATCATCTGCTCAATCTCAGTGGTGGAAAGCTTGCCGACGGCATTGGAGATGGTAATGTTGGCACTACGTCCAGAGGACTTCTCGGTAGCAGTAACCTTGAGGATACCGTTGACATCAACCTCGAAAACGACCTCGAGAGCGGCCTCTCCAGCCCTCATGGGGGGGATGGGAGCGAGGGTGAACTCTCCCAGAGAGGTGTTGTCAGCGCAGTTGGTACGCTCACCCTGGTAAACGGGGAACTGCACGGTTGTCTGGTTATCGACAACGGTGGTGAAAGTGCGCTTCTTGATCGTAGGGACAGTCTGACCACGGGCCACAACAGGAGCGAAGATGTTACCCTCCATAGCAACACCGAGAGAAAGGGGAACGACATCAAGCAGGAGGAGGTCCTGGGTTTCAGCCGAAGAAGCCTTTCCAGACAAGATACCGGCCTGGACGGCGGCACCATAGGCAACGGCCTCATCGGGGTTGATGCTCTTTAATTCAAATACGTTAGGACAAGACTTGTTAAACAGATGGCGAGAGTAGCACTTACCTTCTCAAGCTTCTTGCCATCGAAGAAGTCGCTAAGCAGCTTCTGGATACGAGGGATACGGGTGGAACCACCAACGAGGACGATCTCATCGACCTTGCTCTTCTCAAGGCCAGAGTCCTTGAGAACCTGCTGCACAGGCTCGAGAGTACCCGAGAAAGACTTGGCGTTCAGGTCTTCAAAACGAGCACGAGTGATAGAAGAGTTGAAGTCCTCGCCATCGAACAAAGAGTCGATTTCCACAGTAGTCTGGGTAGCGTTGGACAAAGTACGCTTAGCACGCTCGCAGGCGGTTCTGAGACGACGGAGGGCTCTCGCGTCACCGGAGAGGTCCTTGCCGGTCTTACGCTGGAACTCCTTCTTGAAGTGGTCCAGGAGGTTGGTATCGAAGTCTTGACCACCAAGGTGGGTATCTCCAGCAGTAGCCTTGACAGTGAAGACACCACCCTGGATGTTAAGGAGAGACACATCGAAAGTACCACCACCAAGATCGTAGATAAGAACGTTACGCTCCTTATCAGACTTGCCGGAGCCAAGGCCATAAGCAATCGCTGCTGCGGTGGGCTCGTTGATGATACGGAGCACGTTGAGACCAGCAATGGCACCAGCATCCTTAGTAGCCTGGCGCTGGTTGTCGTTGAAATAAGCGGGCACGGTGATGACTGCCTTCTCGACCTTCTTTCCGAGCTTGGTTTCGGCAACCTCTTTCATCTAGAGTGATCTGTCAGTATCGCAAGAGGGAATGTAGCAAGCAATTCCGCGTGATTGGGATGAAAAGGAATGTTACCTTCATCAAAACCATAGAAGAAATTTCTTGGGGACTGAAAGTCTTGGTTTCGCCGAGATACTCGACCTCAACCACAGGGTTTCCACCCTGATCAACAACCTTGAAGGGCCAGGACTCAACATCCTTCTTGACAATGGGGTCCTCGAACCGCCGACCGATAAGACGCCTGTTTTCGATTAATAGTGAACATATGTCCAGCGAAAAGCTGCTTACTTGATGTCAAAGATGGTGTTCGTAGGGTTCATAGCGGCCTGGTTCTTCGCGGCTTCACCGATCAAGCGTTCCTTGTCGGTGAAAGAAACGAAGGATGGGGTAGTGTAGCTACCCTGCTCGTTGGCAACTGCATGTTTATAAGCTCACCAGCGCCGTATCTAGAGGACACAGGTAACGACATACTGATCTCAACATTGGTACCCTCGTAGTTGGCCACACAAGAGTAGGTGGTTCCTAAAGTATCTCGTCAGTCATTACTTGGGACAACACGGTAGGGAATGGCTCACCAAGATCAATGCCGATGGCACCTTCGTAAACTTCGTCGGCCATTTTGACAAATGTGTATGTCTCAAGACAGATAGGATAGAAAAATTGAAATGATGCCAAAAGGCAGGACGATTGTTGGAGGAGAGGAAGACTAAATAAATTTTGCCCCAGGCGCTGGAGTGGGAGCGGTTAAAATTTGGATGAAAAAAAAAGAAACCCACTTTGCAATTTTTCCTTCCTTCCTCGATTTTTTTTTTTTTTTTTTTTTTCTTGGATTTTTTTTTTTTTTTTTTTTTTTTTTTTTTTTTTTTTTTTGCCCCTTCATTTCTCACCCAATCCGCTTCTTCGAAGACTGCCGGTTTTGGCGCGTTCTCGGCTGAGCTAAACCTGGGTTTCAAGCCCTGGTTGGCTGCTGGACTTCACTTCTTAGATAATCAGGCGATTCTTTCTTCGCTCTTTACTACTAGTCGATAGTACTCAGATTGGGGCACTGGGTAATAGTACCTGTCGAGAAGTGTTGATTATGCTTCACTAGGATTTTGGTTCCCTTCTTCATGTTCAGTATGCAAGTTTGTTCCCTAAGATCCTTCATAAAAGCTTTTACCATACGATTAATCGGATTTGGTTTATCACACTGTGAGTATAGAAAATTTCTCGTATAAGCCGTCCAGTAAGCCCGCACGATTCTTGACAAAATTGTGTTGGAAAGAGAAGAGTAGGTAGCAAAGCGTCCGACTGTGCTCCTCCAATCTTTCAGCGAAGGTAGGCCCCTTATGACCTTGACTTGTACATGGTTGGTATGATAAAACACAATTCAGCCTACAGCTATCTAGTCCAAGCATCAGTTCTTGATACCTTAGGCACTAAAGCGGGTAGCTACTCCACTTGTATCCCAAACAGTCGAAGAGTCACTGCTCGGACATCTTAATGGAGGCTCTTTCTACGCCCTTAAACCAAGACAGCTTCGATCTACACCTCGCTTGTTATACACTTGAGAGGTCAGTGAGAAGAGACATATTTCGACAAGTCGTCACCACAACGTTATTTGCATCTCTTTGAGACTCGAAGTCCTGTCACCCATTCGCTTTTCCTCACTCTGCTACCAAAAGACTATTTACTTGTAAGTGTCTGCTTGGACCGTTTGTGAAGAACAGGCTGGAACTTTCTATCAATAATCGCAACAATGTACGATTCGATGTTATTTTCTCTAACAGCAATCCGACTGCAGTGATTCCGATAGTGTCTGCCCCGCTACCCCCGCTTTTCCAGATGGACATCGATCTGAGCAGAAGGAATAAAAAGCCCCGCCCTTTGCTAGAATCTGAACGGGAGAGACTAGAGGAGTTCATTGATTCTATCCATTATTCAGCTAGGTATGCCGCAGGCAAGCGACAATCTTTTGGTGTGCCTCGACCTTACAGTAAACACAGATACTCAGATGACCAGTTCGAATACCGCCATGTCCAACTTCCCAAAAACATGCTCAAGAAAATCCCTGCAGACTATTTTGACAGTTCAAAGGGAACGCTAAAACTACTGTGGGAGGATGAATGGCGAGCACTTGGTATCACACAAGTACGTAAGAAGAGGTCGAACAAATTTATCACTGTAAGAGGTCTAATACCTTTATCAGAGCTTGGGTTGGGAACATTATGAAGTGCACGAGCCAGAACCACATATTCTTCTATTTAAGTAAGTATGGTGACCCTGCCATCGTTCTCTATTCCTAACCAACGCATATAGGCGCCCCTTGAATTATCAGCCGCCAGTATCACAGTAACTCGTCAGCTGGAACATTCCCGATGCCAACCTTGCCCCCGTCGCCTCAGAAACACCAATACGATATTCGAAAACTACAGTCACTGATAGTGGAGCTACGCATGCAAGAAGGCCCATATGATTAGATTGCATTCAGAAATCTCATCCTGTTGAGATATGCTCCTTGCTACCAAAGAATGCCCACAATTATCATCTGAACTTGAATACCTCCTGTTATCATACCACTCTCTTTTAGAGCACAATTCCTACGCTACATTCATGGCCAGCCATTGCTCCCATTGTGTGGCCGTGAAGCTGCTGCTGATACCTGGTTCCTCGACGCCCTAACCAGCGGAATCAGTGCACCAAATCGCTCAATTAATAATGAGACGGCTTACATTGAAATATACGGTCGGAGATACATGGACGCCGATTGTTCGACCTGACTGTTATATCTAGTTAGGATTCAATGTTGAGCACAGTAACAATATTTCAATGGCGCACCTTGACCATCAATTTGATATCATTCGTCACCTTGTTGCCGGTATTCAACTGTCCATCAGCAATAACTTCGCTGATGTTCAATAATTCGAGCATCTCGTGTTCATCCACACCAACTGTCGCGGCTATCTTCGCAAGTCTCTGATATGTCTTGTTGCGTGTCTCGTTAACAACACTGACATCAAAGAATTCTTCTTGGTGACTGAACAGTGCAGCGCTAAATTCCCAGAACTTGTCTGGAGCTATTTTCAACACCGCCGCACCAGCTTCATGCGTCAGAGTGGATGATGGATGCCAAGGTTGAACGTGCTGACGAAAGACAACCTGAAGTCTTGATTGATAATTTTGTAAGATAATTGGTCTCACCGATGTGTAGAATGTGCTGAATAGCTTTGCGGAGTACTGGAAGTAGTATATTTAGTACACTCTTCCTGCGTAGGGTGCTGTATAAGTACTAACAGGGCAGACATAATCAAGGTCTTCGATCATCAATGCGTTAGTCATCGGGGTACAGAAGAGCATTATCAGTATTAGATTAACATACATAGTTCGAGGGTATGCCATGGTTGCTGTAAGTTGGCTGTCAACAACTTCTGACCCGAAAATTTGGGATGAAGAGCCATTATCTTTACACCGACTATAGTCAACCCTTGTCCTTAGAGTATAGATACTAAGTCGTAGTGAGCTGGAAAGAAAGTGCCCCTCTACACAGCCCGTGCTTATCTGCGGGGGTAGAGTGATTACACATCAATTAACTAGTTGGTCTAGCTAACTAGTTAACTAGTTAACGTAACCGGCAAGCGAGTCGGCCAGGCAAGCCAGTCGGCCACCTGTGTATTCCATACTATTCCAGCAATTTTTGAGCTGTAATACTACAGCCAAACTTCATAAATTCAGGTTTACCTAATG